GTGTGTGTGTGTGTGCGCGTGCGAGCATGCATGCGTGTGTGTGTGTGTGTGTGTGCGTGCGTGCGTGCGTGTGCGTGCATGTGCGTGCGTGTGCGTGCGTGTGCGTGCATGTGCGTGCGTGCGCGTGCGTGCGCGTGCGGGCGTTTGTGTGTGTGTGTGTGTGCGTGTGTGCGTGCGTGCGTGAGTGCGTGCGTGCGTGCGTGCGTGCGTGCGTGTGTGCGTATGTGCGTGCGTGCATGCGTGGGTGCGCGTGGCCGGGGAATGAGAGAGCGAGCGACAGACAGCAAGAGGCAGAGAGTGGATGTGCCTGTGTGCGTGCGTGTTCAAGTGTCCGCGCGTGCGCTTGCACGCTCGTGCATGCTTGCATCAGCGCATGTTGATTGGGCGGGCCGAATCGGGGCCCAATTGGCGCTTTGCTGGGGTCCTTCAACCAGCACTAATGTGTGCACCGCCGCCACATTATTTGGCAGCCCCCCTCACATCCACCTTCTACCATCGACCAAGCCAGCACTGGGCCTGCAGCGTTCCCGCATGCACCCAGATTGCCTTGCCACCCGTCTGTCTGGCCTGCACCCGCCGCCAGCGCACCCCTCGCGCATGCCCAGCGCTCGCGCGTCGCCTCCCCGCGCCCGCCGTGGCGCAGGCCCGCCGCCTGCCGTCGGGCGCGTTCCGCCAGGCGTACGTTGTGGGGCTGCAGCCGCTGCTGATCACCTTCTCCATCGTGATGCTCATCTCTGGCCTCGGCGGCCCCACCACCTGTGAGCATGGGCCACAGCGCCCAAGTCAATCTGAGATATTATAGGAACGCCTTGCAGCACTCATTTCACTTGGTGTACTCCTGGCCACGTTTTGTGGGTCAGGGGCTGCTGATGCAACGTCGGCCGCCCCGCGAGCAAGCAGCAACAGACGCGCAGCCTCATACCACATGTCTACACGACCTGCCTAGACTGCAGTTGTGGCGTCCTGCTCAGCCGAGGCACATCACCTGACCAACAAAAGCCCATTCACAGCTCCCCTCTGCCACCGCACGATCAGGCCTCGTGACTGATTGCAGCCGGCCCTCTTTCCCTAACCTGTTTCCAACCCGCAGACGCGGCAAACCCTGCGCGCGACTTTGGGCCCCGCCTGGCCCATTTCCTGCTGCCCATCCCGAACAAGGTGACAAGGGGCCGCCTGCCAGCCGCCCCTGATCTGAGCAAGGCAGTGTGTGACGCGGTGACGTCATCGAGGCGCTTGCCTTCCCGCCGCGTCGACGCGTGGAGTCATCGTGTGCTGTTGTTCCATGAACAACATCCACGCCTGACGAACCTCGTCGCCGTTTGTCGAGAACTGACACCCCCCCCCCCCCTCTCACCAACCCACCAACCCAACCAACCCTTCAACCCTCCCACCCACCCACCTACTCACCCATTAACAAACATGAACCAAAACATCCAAATCCAACCAGGGGTCATCTGAATGGGTGTATTCGTGGGTTCCTATTGTCGGGCCGCTCATCGGTGAGGCACGCGCGCATCATGCACCCGCGGCTCCCTGTGTCCCCACGCCCTCCAGCGGCCGCGCCCCTGCCTCGCTTGCACGCGATCCCGGGCGGCAGCCGGCCTCCCAAGCAGCAGCGGCTTGAGGCCGAGTTGTCTCCCCGTCCTGACCTTGGCACACTCGCAGTGCTGCTGTCTCTTCCATGCCGCATCACACGGCCCGCTCCTTGCCTGCACACCACATCCTTCTGTCCTAAACTGCTTCTCTCGAGACGCCGCCCTGACCCCGAACCCAACCCCCAATCCCGCCGCTGGTGACATCACTCCAGGCGGTGCGATCGCGGGTGGCCTGTACATCGCCATCGAGGACATGACCTTCCCGGGCAACGGCGTGTTTGCGTGACGCGTCATCACCACCCCTCAATGACGACACGGGGCCAGGACCAAGGGAATCAGTACAGGCATGGGGCGCGCCCACGCCACTTCACGCCCTGCGCTGCAAGGGCCGCGGCCGCACAGCTTCGCGCCCCGAATCGAAGCGCCTAGCACGCGGGGTGCGGCCGGGTTGCATGAGTTTCCAATAGTAGTGCAGAGGCGGGTGCCGATCACGCATTGAGGGTGGAGGCGGCGTCTGCCACTCGTCGGCGCCTTGGTGCATAGATCTTTGTACACGCTGATTATCAAATCTTTGCACAGTCCATGAGTGGCCAAGCGTTGACGGGCCGCCCTCTGTTGGGATGGTCGGCGCGTGCACAGCGCGCACGATCTTTTATGCAGGGCTTTTTTGGGCGCAACTTGTGCACCAGTCGGGGGGAGGTGATCACTGCAGCGCTTTTCACGACCTGTCCATCCAGACCTGTTGAGGGGCCGACCGCCCAGCCTTCCTGCTTATCGTCGCCGGCTGTTGGCATGCTGTTGGGGCCGCCCACGCTGGCGCAGCACTCATGCCCGCTGACAACGCATGCTCCGTGGACACCTGGCCGCCCCCTCGGCAGCCGCATGGCGCACGTCCCTTGCACCTGGCCGTCTGCCTTGACCTGTTGCCATTATTGGCAGGCCGTGTCCCTAGTAAACTCAATTGCTGCCATGGGGCAAAAATGTCAGGTGTGCCTTTACTTATGAAACAAGTCGTAGTCAGGTCAACAACTAGGAAGATGCCCTGCGGTCTAACGACGGTCAAAAGTCAGTCAAATCGGCACAAGGTGAGCGTTTGAAGCGATGCAGCTTGACGGGCCGCGGCCAAGCGGGTGCGCATCGCCTTTGCCACATTGTAGCGCCGACGGAAGGCGCAGCTAGCCATGTGGCTTGTCATGGGCCGGGGAACCCATGAACCCACACCACCCCTAGGTGGCGGGGCAGCGTGGCAGCAACCAGCCCTTTGGCCCAGGCGGGCCTCGCACAACCTGACGGCCCTGAACGCCGCGCCGCCATGCAGCAGGCAGCGGCGACGCGGGCCGTAGGCCGCAATGGCGTAACGACATCACACACACACATTACAACAGATGACACGGTGTCCAAGGGACAGATCACAACAGCTCCTCCTGCTGCAACGACGCCATGAACTCCGCCAGCCGCGCGTCCACGC